CTGTGAGGTTTCCCCGTTGGCGTGAAGGGGCCAAACCTGACACAGTTTTCAGCTTTTGATTCCCCGGAGAGAATCTAGCTGTTACGGTGACTGACGGCGGTCKYRCACCTTTACTCTCTGTCTTTTCTCAGTCTGTCTGCATCTGAGACGGTCAGAAACTGTTAGTTCCTAAAAGCTTAGAGAATCTATGGTCCGCCCTTCAGAAGGTTAGATTAGAAAAGAAATTATCAAGGAAAGTGTTAGTTTCAGAGCTCGCTGTGCCCTCCTGAAACAAAACAAAGATTATTTGCTGCTGCTGTGTGGTTCAGAACAACACATTTCATGACCCATTTAAATCATCTGATGAGTACTGTTTAAAACATAACTGAAAGAACAATGAATTGCTTCAAGTTCAAAACATTTGCAAATATGATTCGGACAAGTAAAACATTGATATTTCATCAACTTAAACCATAAAGATTATTTTAGTTAAATAAGAATTTTTCTCACAGAAAAACCATACATAGCTGAAATCATACTGAGGGAGAAAAGAGATCTGTCCTCTCTTCTCCTGTAACTTTGATAAACATTCTCTGATTATCAAAATGCGTAATACTTTCAGTTAAGAGAGCGCTAAATCAAATAAGAGAAGATTCTTCTGTTTTTATCTGATTTAGAATGAAAGTGGCCTTGGGTGGCCTAAATACAGTTCTAAGTGGAACAGAGTTCTTGTCCATTAGAAGGCCCATCAGAGGACTGAGAGTCCAAGATAGTTCCTTGATAATTTGACTCGAGGTGACCCCTACACATTTATGTCCTTCCAACACTGAATAAAAAAAGAGTAAAATAAACTCTTACATGTTGTTGAGAGCTCCACCGATGTCACAGTCACAAGGAGAACATTTGAACACTGAGTTTCCCAAACCCCAGAACCCTGCCTGAAGATATAAAACACAAACTTCAAAACAAATGACTGATTTTGGTTCTTATTCAGGACCCATTTATTAACATTTTTTACAAAAATTCCCATCAGTCTACTGATAATCTCAGATCTGCTGAGACATGAAACAACCTTTTTAAGTTTATTTTCTCCTTTGTGTACTGTTTTGCACTTACAATGTTGAACCTACCACACATTGATCACACAGCAGTCCACTCGCTAAAGGCTCACATTCACACCTTCCTGTCAGTGGATCACATGACCCAACACTTCCTAAACTGTGACACATGCACTCTGAAAAGGGCAAAACAAAAAAATCAGAGCTGCACAAAGAACAAACACAAGGTGACAAAAAAGGCACAGTTGACATGAGAAACCTAAACTGTTCATGAGGTACAAAATGAGCAAAGAATATGTTACCTTGACATCCTGTTGGGCTGTCCTGCCTCAGACCAAAGAAGCCCCGTTTGCAACTATCACAGCGCTGACCTTCCACGTTTTCTTTGCAGAAGCATTGACCGCTCAGCACGTCACACAGACCACCACTAAGAGAACCAGCTGGGTCGCAATCACATGCTGCAACATCAACAATACATCGTGCTCAAACACAGGAAAAGGCTGTTACATGATTGAGATGGAAACATGAATAACCGTGACCTCTGACATCATCCCTTGACCACCACTGGTCATGTCTCATCAATGATTCCCAACCAGGGGTACGTATACCCCTTAGGGTACGCAAGCATGGTACAGGAGATACATGGAAAATTTTCCCAGATGTGTACAACAATTAATAAAAATATTAATTAAAATAGGACTGAGACTGATAGGGCCCTATGATTTCCACAATGCATAAATTGCAGTTGGAATCCAGTATAAAACATGGAATCTCAGGAAAATTTGCACATTTGGATGAGTTTCTGATGTATTTTGGACAACACAATGTATTTTGCTGTTTTCTGCACCTGCCATTACCTGGTTTATTGATTTAATTACTTATTCACTTTCAAGGCAACATGTTTATCTTTATGTTTAGTTTGATTTTGAGTTGAACAAAATAAAATGCCTGAGAATTAAACATTCTAGATCAGTGGTGTCCAAAGTCAGTCCACAAGGGCTGGTGCTGCCCTATTTCAACACAGCTGAACCTAAGTAGTGCATAATTAGTAGGCCTCTGCAAACATTGATGGCATACTGAGAAGGTCTACTAATTGGGCACTCCTTAGGTTCAGCTGTGTTGAACCAGGGTAGAACCTTAAACATACAGGACACCGGCCCTTGAGGACTGACTTTGGACACCACTGTTGTAGGGGTTATGTAAATAATTTTAATTTAATAATCAGTTGTAGTACATTATAGTTTTGGGAAATTATCATTACATTTGACTGAAAGGGTACAAGTGGTATGACAAAATGGCTCAGGTGGTACACAAGTCTAAAAAGAGTGGGAACCACTGATCTAAAATCCTGAAACATTCCTGCACTTTCAGCACCTTGGACAGTTCCTTCAGCCCTTCACACTGTCCAAGGTCCTGAAACA